TCCACAAAGCTACACTTTAACTATGTTTTTAAGATCTGAGGAAATGTTAAGATTGTTTGACTTTGGTTTCCATGGTTCACTCCTTGATTATGATTAATGTTCCTTTCATTTCAAGGAGCAGTCCTGGAACAACCAGAACCTTGACTCTGTCCCTCAGGATTTGGATGTAAGACTTAGAAAACTCGACCTGTCCAATAACTTCATCAGACAGTTGCACACACTTGTTTTGCCGGGCTTGGAGCAGCTGGACCTGAGCTCCAACCAGCTGGATCTCATCTCCGAGGGGGCTTTTGAAAACTTGGCTCGACTTGAAGAGTTGAATTTGTCCAGAAATGCGCTGAACAACAACCTTGGCAGCAACAGCAAAGCCTTCCAATCCATCACTAGACTGAAGAGTTTGGACATATCCATGAATGGCCTGAGCGATGATGCAGCGGAGCAGTACCTTCGAAACAAATCATCTCTTAATCAACTTAAGATGACTGGTAACGCTCTAACAAGACTTTCACACAGCTTGTTCGAGGAGAGTAAAGGTTTGAGGGCCATTACTATCGATGACAATCTGATATCAGTGATAGAACAGGGAACATTCGAACCATTGAGCCAATTAGAGATGCTTAACTTGGCCAAAAATAACCTTGCACACATCTGTGATTTTAAATTGCATCAAGTTAAATATCTTAATCTTAGTCGAAATTCAATGGAGTTTTTTGTCACGCATGAGGATGACCGGTCGTATGAGCTTGAAATTCTTGATTTGAGTTTCAACAAACTCCTTTACTTCCCGATCGTTCCCAAGATAAACAGTTTGAAGTATCTTCATTTACAGAATAACATGGTTGGGGCCTTAAATTCAGAGGCTGCGATTGTATCAGAGGCCAATTCTCTTTATAGTGAGATTATGAATGAGAAAATTGTTAGAAAAAATTACCTCCACTCATTCTGGAGGCAGATGCCACTGATTTATCTTGATCTGAGCTATAACCACTTCAGGTCTTTCCCGCTGGAGACTTTGAGCCTTCTCTCTTCTTTAGAAACCCTGAATTTCAGCTACAACTGTCTGCAAAACATTATCTGGAATATTAGAAATTATAGTGAGTCAGGAAACCGGCGGCAGCTGTTCTTTTCATCTTTAAAGCTCCTCGATCTGCAAAGTAATGGGCTTGTGCATATCTCCCCGCTCTTTCTCAGTGCGCTCACACAAATTGATACATTAAATCTGCAAGATAATTCTGTGCAGCTTTGTGCTCTTATGGACTATTTAGGAAGCTCTGAGTCAACACAACAAATAAATCTCAACACATCCTGTGTTGCCTTCGAGCAGGTAGGAACTCTTAAACACCTCAATCTTAAAGAGAACAATATACAAATGCTTCATCCAAACACGTTTCAGGGAACCGCTTTGGTTTCCCTCAACCTCGCGAAAAATCCTCACATGGTCATGCACGTGAGCGCGCTCGACGATGTGGAGAAAACTCTTCGCTCCTTGGTAATCAGTGAAACCAACATGACCAGCTCGGATCTGTCTTTACCCTGTATGCCCGCGTTAACTCAGCTGAACATATCGAACAACTACCTCGATGTTATACCCAGCGGTCTGCGCTGCTCCCCCCTGAGAGAAATGGACATTAGAAATAATCGTTTTGTGTCATTAAACTATTCTCTGATTCATGCTTTATCTGCGCACCTCAATGTTGTGTATATAAGTGGAAATTATTTCAACTGCTGTGACAGTAAATGGCTGAAAACCCTGAATGAGCTGAAAATAAACCTGCCTGACATCACTGACACTGAATGCTTTTCAGGTGACAGTAGAGTTAAGATGATGGATTACCTGAAAAGGTCCTCGGTGTATTGTGTGTTTCCTAGGAAAACACAGGGAGTTCATGGAGGACAAATGCTCATTATTGCTTCATTTGTATTCGTAATAATAATGGTGGCCATAGTATTTACCAGGAAGCTGCTTTCCACAGAAAGATCATTTATAGTGTGATATCTCTTGTCTTTTTTGTACATATTCCATATGGATTACATGAAGTAAGCAAACTAAACAGTCGAAACTGGGCAGCAGACTTAAAGCAAGTGAAGCATAATTCCTGTGGGTTTCATTTGCATGACGCATTTACAGAAGTGTGGCTTAATGGCAGTTTGGCCTGTAAAAAGCCAACAGATGCTGTTGAGTGAACGCTGTAACCGCTTCACTATCAGACACGTGCATCTATTCTCACTCGATTCGAGCTTTCTCTTGTGACTCAACTTCCCATAACTCGTTTGTCAGACATGCATCCCGCTGTGTGACCCGCTAAGATGTTGTGATTGAAATTGGCTTTATCGACTCCCAAGCCGTTTGGTCTGCAGCGTGTGCCAAATCGCTAATCAGACAGAGAACTTTTTGCCCATCTTTCTTTGGGAAATGTTTGTTTGTAACTGAAAAGTTTAACCTTGGCTCAAATTTCTATGACGTCCGTGAAGTCTTGCACAACATTACCAGAATCAAGACTGACCACCTCAAAAACATAACACGTCAATAAGAAACTTTGTAAGAGGTTCTGTGTAAACATATGTATATATACTGTATATATAAAATATACATTTTTAATATGTATCTCCATCTGCAATGCAATGTGTTTTCTAATCTGTAGCTTATGTGGCCTTGATCCTGGGAGACTGTTATCAATGTAGTGGTAAATGTGGCAACATTTATACTGTGCATGATAAACATGCTGTACGTAATAACCAGAAAATGTTGCCAATCTTCATTTTAGAAGATGAATCCACCCATTTCTTAACCTGCAAAGCAAATCACTGGGTTCCAAGACGAAAAACCTCACTGTCTATGGATTTCTGCTTTTAGTTCTCATTTAATAAATGTGACAGAACCTGTAATCTCCACTACTTTATGAAAATAAGTCCCCACTATGTCACACTTAATCATCAACATGAGGTTAAACTAAGAACACGTGAACACACTTAATTTGATCCCACACGGCTGCTCCACAGACAATAGGGAGAGGTGAATGTCTGGTAAAACAAAAATGAGTAAAAGCCTCATGACATGTTGCTGTTTAAATGTGAAATGAAAAGATATCAGAGAAAGATTTTATTACAGTCTGAGTAAGTAGCTTCGGGTGCCATAGGGAGGAAAGACTGCTGCAGGATATCCTGTTGAGCAATTACCTTCTGACTCATCCTTCTGCTTTACACTGATGCAAAGCGCAGTTTTTTGCAATACTTATGCCCAGCACCACTGTGTCCAGTGACTCAAGGCAGGCATGTGATCCCAGCATGCGTATCACAACAGCCAGAACGCCTATCAATCTTGCTGTTGAGCAATGTAACTTTAGGAAATGTCTCTGTCGCCCCACCCACAAGATTTAGGTACCAGATCAAGTAGCAGCTTGACAAGTTCAAACAAAGAGCACTCGGAGAAAAGAACACTGTGTGTATAGTATTAGGTGTAAAACCATTGGAATGCAGGTAGCAAATTGTATTCATTCTTCTTCTTGGCGGTTAATGGTAGCTGGTATTTAGATATCAGCAGCAGCTTGTTTGCTAGCACATCGAAAGCGTGTATCACTGTCAGTCTCCCCCTCCAGGGCAACTGTATTTCCAGTAAGCAAGTTATCCGTGCCCATTTCAACCTGATGCTATAAAAATATCTCTTTAGAAAGATAATATTATCTTGCATCTGTGCCATCTTGTTTAGCACATATTGTACATATTGTTTGATCCAGAATAAAATCCTTTGTGTTTGCTCGAAACTCTTTTATTAATACAATGACTTTTTTCTGCGCCAGTTTACAGTTGTTCTCTATGTTCTATTTAGAAAATATGCTGAGCTGGATCTTTAGTTTTATTGTGCTGCCTCTCCCAATATACTATTGCAATAAAATGTTGACTCACTTAAAACACATATGTTTACATGGTCTACACAGTATAGAAATAGAAATGCAACTTATTTGAATTATCCAGTCCACACTATTAGTCATACAGGGTCTGATTTTACTATAGGACTTACGACAGGAAAGCTACTGAGCTGCAACACATTCATATGGAATTCCTCATTTCGATGTAGGATTATTGAAGCCTATATTTGCAGTGAAGCTGTATTTTGTAGGGAAAATGTGCTTTATAACAAGAACAGGGTTTTGGGGCCCCCTGTCCCTATCAGGCCCCTGAGGCCTGTGTCCTATAGTAATCCATCCATGACCACAGGGGTCCCTGACTGCATTATTGTAAGAATTAGGCCTAATTTGCTGTGTGAATTTTCGGATAATTAGGACACGATGTTCTACATTCTGGGAGCACTGTCATGTAGATGTCCTTATCTCTGACTTTCCTTCGTATTTTCTCTCCAGCTCAGAACCGACACTCAGATTTGTGCCTAAATTATTCTCCTGACAGTCAAGCAGCAGGACACTGCATCCTGGAGAGGTCACCCTGCAAAATGTCCATTAAGGCAGTCAGGTGAGAGACATCCAGCAAGTCATATGGTGACAGATAAGCTAAATAACAATATGACAGAATGTTAGGTCCACTGAAAGGGAAAAGGGATTTAAAGAAAAACTGGAATATTAGGAGAACTAAGTCGTAATATTTTTTCCTTTTTTAACATTAAATTACGAATTTAATCTTGAAATAGTGTGACTTTTTTCCTAATTGTAAGACTTTATTCTTGTAACAGTACAACTTTATTCTCTTAATAGTACAACTTTATTCTTGTAACAGTATGACTTAATTTTTTTTGTAATATTAACTTTTTATTTGTTAATCTTGTTCTCGTTAAATTACAACTTAACTCTTGTAATATTATGAATTGTATTCTAGCCAATGTAAACTTTATTCTCATAATATTGCAACTTTATTCTGTAAATATTAGGACACTGCTCTGTGAATCTATTGTCCTCCTGATATTTTGTCATTGAGGAAAGAGACAGACATTATAATAAACATTACAATAAACATTACAATAAACATTATAATAAACATTATAATAAACAGTCCAGTGGCCCCTCGGCCTCCACCAGCGGCTGAAGAAGGAGCAGGAACCCGCTCTCCGACGACAGAAAGAACCCGGAGAGGTCAAGACGACGAGGAGAGTTTGTTCCTGCGCTGCGGGAACTCTTCAGACCCAGAAACATCGAACTGTGGCTTTGAAATATAATATTAGCGTGTTAGCGCGTTAGCTAGCTCACGTTAGCCGGCGGACCGCGCGCAGAGATCTGTCCCTGAACACCATGACTCCTCCTCAGCAGCAGCTCGAGCTCCGACAGCCTCGCTCCCCCATCATCACACAGAAGGTACAGTTGATCTACAAACTGTTTCTGCTGGAAAACGCCAGGAGGACGCTGGAGGAAGAGCTGAGCAGCGTCACCAACAAGGTAAAGCGATCAGAAGTTTGACTTTAGAGTTTAGGTAAGCATTAGCTGTGGATTAGCTCTTGGTTAGCATTACCTGTGGATTAGCTCAGTTAGCGAACAGGCTCACATGGTCCAACTTGCAGCTCCACGTAAAATATGTTAAACGCTGGATTAGACAGAGTGCTAACATTTACTGACTGCAATTTTTCAAATCAAATGATAATTGTTTGTTTCATAAATGTTCAGAAATCGGTGGAAAAAAACAGTTTCTTTGAGCTCAACTTTATTCAATGCAAAAAAAACCCCACAAATGTCAGAAATATTAAACCAGTCAAGGTGATTATTAAATTCTCAAGTGATTAGTTTTCAGTCTATCGAGTAATGGGCTCATATTTGATTTACTTAAATATACTTATGTTTGTTTCACTTTCTGTCAGGCCTATGACGATGTCCAAGGTTTCTTGAATCCATCTTCTCCCACCAGTATGTTCAGTGATGTCACTGATGCTATGGATGCTAAATGTCGAGCTATGGACAAGCTCACAGCTTTATTAAAGGATCTCATAGGTGGTAAGTCCAGAATAAGTTATATGATCTTAGCTGCCAGTCTGTCATTCTAGATGTCCATGTTCAAGATGAAGTTTGCATGATTGTGATTCAGGGAAAGATTTTTTGTGTCCATAACAAAACATCTCCCCTTGCTGCTTCTGTCAATGTTACAGAGCCGCGTGATTGTGTTCAGCCCGCTGTCACAATCGGAGAGAGAACAAACCGGTTACAGCCACTCGGAGACAAGGGGGTCCTGATGACAGATGTTCTCAAGTTTGGGCCCATGTTACAGAACGTGCTCCTGGCAAGCTCCATAGCGAAAGCAGTCCAGGTGGTTGGAGGCACACTGTCCCTTCAGCAGCTGAAACATTTCCTCATCTCCCAGCCTGCAGTGGCCCGGGAGGATGACATGATTTACAGCATCTCTAGTGGCTGCAACAGCGCCATTCAGACCACGAGCTCGTCCTGTAATTTAAAGGGTGAAGAAAAAGAACAAGCTGTTACTTATGAGGAGAAAAGCCAACCAGATGATGCGATTCTGCCACCTGCCATTATTCAGAGCCCAAAGATTCATGCAGAGAGACCACCACCACCACTACTACCTCCAATACAAGCTGTATTTCCAGAAATCAGCAAACCAACACCCATGAAAATGACACAACTAATTAAGTGGGGATGGGAGGACAATGTCCAGGTGCAACACCAAAAACAAACATCCTCTCAGCTGCAGCACTTCCTCAGGGCCAAAGCCAAAAACTCCAGTGCACTGGAGGTCACAGTCATGAAGTGGAATGAAAGTATCTACGCCTCAAGTTCACCACAGTCAACATCGCCTACCATCAAAACACAAAGCTACCCATTCAGAAATGTTGTGACAGACAATCTTGTCGAAGCTCTAGCCCCGAAAACATTTTGTGCAGACATTGAAAATCAAGCCCCTGTCTTCAGAGTAAAACGAATGGAATCGAGCGGCTCTCTGACCTACACTTGTGTGATTGCCACAAAGACGGAACTGTGGGATATTGGAGACATCTTCACAGAGGTGCAACAAGCACATTCTGATGGCAGCCCAGAGAAAAAAGAAGGCTGCCAAAATATAACTGCTCAAGTGGAGAACTCTTGTATAAACATCCAGTGGAAAACCCAAACACTCCAGTGCACAGAACCTGAAAGAGAGAACAATTCCGCTGGCGCAGAAACACCGGCTATCAACAGTGTTATTATTCCCGAGTTCCAGATCCGGAAGTTTGAAGAGACTGAAGTTGTGGTGTCTCATATTATCAGCCCAGGCAACTTCTACATCCAGCATGCAGACTCCCTCTCGAAGCTGCAGGCCCCTGTTACAGAGTAAGTCGTTCAGCATGGATTCTAATCTCTTGACTGCTTTTTCTCAGCTTTTTCGCAACCCTCACTGGTTCCGTGATCACATTTACAGGACCTACAGGGCCACTTGTTCCTTTTTTTCATTACAGTTTTCTTTGTAGATTTTTTTTTTCCATTTTAATAATCCACATGTTTCTGGTTGTCATTATTTTTCTCTCATTTGCAGCAGCTGGAAAGCCAGTAGTTCATATGCCGAGCAGAACTGCATTCCAGACATTGGAACCCAAGTAATGGGTTGGTTCCCTAAGCGAGAACAATGGTGCAGGGCTCAGGTGACAAAGATATGTGGAGTAAGTGGAGGTAGGTTCAGTTTTTGTATTTGGAATGGATTTGCAAATGCATACCTCTAGATGGTAGCAGTGTTGCTTTGACTGAATAGAGCCACTTGGAAATTTTATACTGTGCATTTAACCTGCTTTTCTCTGTATGTTGTGGATGTAAGATAATAACTCCACTGATGGTGCCAGGGGTGAGACTTCCATCAACGTGGAGGTGAAGAGGCTGGACCACGGTGACACTGCCTGCCTCTCACTGTGGAACATAAAGGATCTGAACCCAGAAATGGCGGCTCTTCCATTTCAGGCTTTACAGGTCTCGCTTGCAAATGTAAGCTGATCCCTGATCATGTTTGCTGCGTAATTTTCTGTGTGTATTCAAACTAGCACAAATCTCTCATTTATGAACATGATTTTCAACAACAGGCGTGTAGATTATCCTTCAGGATTTGCATTGATGGAAATGGTTAATACACAGCGCTGTGTGAGTCTAGACTCATTCATTGGCGTTTGTCCACATGATTAGTCACAGCCTTATCTATTGCACAGCGATAAAGGAAATGAATTATCTCAGTTCATGGTATTTTGGGCCTTGTTTCCTGCTGCCCCCCCAGGTGATGCCTGTGAATGGGAGGGACTGGTCTGAAGAGGCAGTGGGCTGGTTCAAAGTGATGGTGCACAACAGGACACTTTATGCCCGACTCTACCCGCAGGGGCCCAAAGTTACAGTCGAGCTGTTTCTGGAAAAGGGCAAGCTCGGAGCAATGAGGTACTTCACAATGAAACACAATCAGTTTAATTGTGACTTGTACATTTAGAGTTACAGAATTGTAAATGGAAAAAAAATGATAATCACCAAGATTTATTAATGGATCTAATCTTGTTTGTTGCAACAAACAAGATTATTTTATTTCACTGGGTATCACAGTTCAGAGACTGTAATTCTATGAATCAAGTTGTCTACTGTGTGACCGGTTGGCCATTTTGTAGTGTGTGTATTTTTGTATATGTTAATTATAACTGATTATATTTATTTGTTGGTTGTAGGAGAAGTGCGTCATTGTCTCTGAGACTGGCTCAAAATGGACATGCAAAACACAGCAAATTGAAGAATGTGGGTCTCATGAAAAGTAAGTGGAGTTACAGTGTGGATAATTTTTACCTTAAATTATACATCTAGGTGACAGTATAACTTTTGTGTGAGCAGAGCAGCACATTCCATTTCATTCAAAATCTTTCTTTTTTACATTTTTAGGCACTTTTAAACAAAAACTGGGAAAACAGGATTCTGACTGGGAGAAATACCTCATCTCCTGCTATACTCAAAGTAAGAAGTTACTGTGAGCAGGGAGCGCTGGTCGTCTCTGTCTCACAAGCAGCCCGTGTTTTTGCTGCAGAGATACTTGAGACATGTAATCCTTCTTAAACATCAGATTTAAGTGTCATCGAATTTTTATTGACCATGTGTGTAAAAGACTTTAAGGAAACATTTGACAAGCTGCTGTTATTGGTACTTTGCAGTAAAAAGCTAATTTGAGGATATTTAATTTAAGTGAAAAAAGGCATTGACCAGATCAGTACACATTAAGTAGCATGTATCTGCTTTCTTGTGTGTTAGGTTTTCTATAGCAATTCATACAGTATAAGTTACAAAACTAAGTCAAGTGGATGTGAGTGTAAAGCTCTGTTATATTTTTGAACTTATATTTCTGTTCTGGTATTTTCTATACTTTTTATCAATTATTTAAAAGACAACAGATCCCCAGTTTTCTATCCTCTAAAATAGGAATTTATAAATATTTTCTTCTATGTATGCAGACATGGGTACCAAAACGTGGTGCGTAGGTTGTAGTTTGAAAATGTCGTCCCTCTTTTTAGACGTAGTTTTGTACTTAAATCTAGGAAATGTGTCTCAGGTCCTGATTTATTCCAGCTACAAGACAATGCCAGTTAACTCTGTTCACTCAGATCACCCTGCCCCTCGGATTTCCTTTTTTTTTTATGATAATCATTATTATAGCCATCCTTTCTTTGGTTAATATTGAGTTCATTGCAAATATGTTATTTGTAAATATATACATAAATATATGTATTTCTGCGGCTGTAATAAAGTGTTATCTCTATTTGCATAGCCCCATGTCTCTATATTCTATGTAGAGAAGTGTATCATGGAGAGAATATAAATGAGGGTTAGTTCATTCAAAGAATTACCAGGCCACGCAAACGCTCCCACTAGATCTGTCAGAAGTGACGCAGAAGCACTCATGGCACAGTGAGCCGCTTTAGTTCATCTGATAGTACATGACAAACGACCACATTGTGTTTTCACTTGCATTCAGATTGTTGTCACTGTAAAGAATTGTTTCTACTGCTGCAGGGAGGAGTTTGATCAGAGCAAACAGTGAGTCTCGATTAAAAAGAGTAATTATTTTACATCAGTAGATTATCTCTGTTTACATTGGTACTGTGGGCGTTTGCACTGAGTTTGCATCCATCATTGTTCATTTGCTGATTTGTTACAATTTATTGTTTTGGCTCATTCATGGGCAGACTTGCATTTCACAGCAGAGACAACTGCTACCTAACTCAAATGGATATTTGTTTTACTGTGTCCCACTTTGCATATCACTAAATATGTCAAATGCTCACAAAAGGATATTATCAAAAGACTGGAGGCAAATCTAATACAACTGTACTTATTGGTCAAAAGTAATTTAGGCCAAGATAATTTAAAAGGAATGTACTTGGCCCACGTTGGTCACAAAAAGTGGTACTTCAAGGTTTTTCAATTCAATATACAGATTGATAGTTGCTGTATTTAGAGTTTGATAGGACATTGTTTGATGGCTTCACTTTTGCATGCCCAGTTTTTACAAGTACAGACATCTGAAAACAAGAGTAGAAAGGGTTTGAATGAAATGTTGTTTGAAATAACTCCTGTCATTAAGTCTATCTTTTCTTTTTCAGCTCCATTAGTGTGCAGCAGCTCATATATTTTCTGGATTAATCTGAGAACCTGTGAATGACTGCGTGCTCTCAATGACAGTGGCTCAGGTCAAAAGCTTTGTTCACTCCCCTGCTCTGCCAAGCACAATAAAAAATGTGGCAGGCTGAGGCCTTTTGTGTCCACACAGATTCCTTCTTTTGCCCGGGGTGGGCGGAAATCGAGGCGTTTGATCTGAATTCTAAAGAGTCTTGTTGCAGCCCAATAAAGGCCGCCATTGTATGTAAATGGTCTACATAAGAGCATATGACTGCTACGGTGCAGGGCAGTGGCTAGTGGCGGAGGAATGATTAGCATTTTCCAAACGCATGGTGTTCTCGGTCCAGCCTTTTGGCTTTCTAAAAAACACAATATTTTCATTCATTTCCACCTGATTTGTACACATCTTTGTGTACCACCACAGCTGAAGGTAAAATAAATGTTCTCATTTTACTGTGTTCTACTAACGTTCAGTGAAGTGAGGTCAGATTGTTTTGACAGTTAATGATGACGTGTCCCTTACACTGAGCAAAGACATGACATGTCATTATAATTATGATTACCCTTTAGAGTGGTATTAGGAGTTTGATCGCTCTGTTCAGTATGTATCAGGAACTCTGTTGCTGTTCTTGTAAACAATGAGATCTCACATTATGAGTTGGATGTCTTGCTGGTTTCCCTGGAGAAATTTGCTGGCACTTTGTCAGTCTGTCTGCAACTGGGCTGTAGGTCAGTTTGGGAGAACAGTATTAATATGGTATGAGTGGACCACGTGGCTCGGCGAATGTTTCGCAATTGGCTTTGACCTGCTGCGTCCTGTGACGGGGCACGGCGGTAGGCCATCGCCCCTGCTTTTATACAGCCAACCGTACCTACTTGGCATTTCTTGTCAGTTGTTCCTAATTCTGCCAAATCCAGCTTGATGCTCAGGCCGCACCTCAAGATGGTCATCTTCGGACCCGGCGCTGCTTACGCCGCTTGCACTGCAGGCTGAGCCTGGTAAACCTCAAAACATTAATGTTACAACATTTAAATATTTGCTAAATGATCAAGTTGTCTGGATGTTCATAGCCAAGTCATTGAAAAGTAGCCATTCCAACAATGTGACTTTCTGCAAATATTAACGGATAAAATGTTTGGTTTTTCTTTAATCTGATGAAGTTAATTCTTCTGAGATTTTTTAGTTGCTAGAATGGTTGATTTCCTTATTTCTATGTAACCTAAACTGAATATTTGTCCTTCTTCAGACCTGGAGTCGAAAATGAACTGGGGAACCTTTTATGCCGTGATCAGCGGCGTAAACAGGCACTCTACCGGCATCGGACGCATTTGGCTGTCGGTCATCTTCATCTTCCGTATCCTGGTCCTGGTTGTCGCTGCGGAGAGTGTTTGGGGAGATGAGAAGTCAGGCTTCACTTGCAACACCCAGCAGCCTGGCTGCAACAGCGTGTGTTACGACCAGTTCTTTCCCATCTCGCACATTCGCCTGTGGGCACTCCAGCTCATCCTGGTCTCCACCCCTGCGCTGCTAGTGGCCATGCATGTGGCCCACAGACGCCACATCAACAAGAAGATCCTGAAGAGGACGGGCCGCTGCAGCCCCAAGGAGCTAGAGCAAGTCAAGAATCAGAAGTTTGAGATCACCGGAGCTCTGTGGTGGACTTACATGATCAGTATTATCTTCAGGATCATCTTCGAGGTGGCTTTTCTTTACATCTTCTACCTGATCTACCCTGGCTTTAAGATGGTGCGTTTAGTGAAGTGTGACTCATACCCTTGCCCCAACACGGTGGACTGTTTTGTCTCCAGGCCAACAGAAAAGACGATATTCACCGTGTTCATGCTGGCAGTGTCTGGGGTGTGCGTGCTGCTTAATCTGGCCGAGGTGGTGTACCTCGTAGGCAGGGCCTGCAAACGGTGCTTTGGCAGCTCTGAGGATGAGTCCAAAGCAGCTTGGATCAGTCAAAGATTGTCATCTTACAGGCAAAATGAAATCAATCAGCTGATAGCAGACCACTCTCAGAAGTCTAAGTTCACTGTGACCAAAAAGAGCCCGAGTGAGAAGGCTGAGAGGTGCTCTGCTTTCTGAGACTCTGCCTTTCCTTCTCCCTTTAAACTAACCAACAGTAATCACACATGTCCAATGGAGCATGGTGTTCTGCATTACTGTCACATACACTGTATATTTGATCATCTGCATCCACATTTATTTATGTATTGTATCATTCCTACAGTTTTACTGACACAAGCGTTAGTTGCTGTTAGAACTTGTCTAAACTACTTGGAGCCAGAAGGGAAGGTTAAAGGACAATACCAATGTTTTTGCATGTTCTAGCTGACTTTCTACAAATCAAACACGTTGACATCATAGTCGGCCATTTACCAAAGCTTACCCTGATTTGTTAGGTTTTTGTCCGTTTTTTTTTTCTTCTGCCTTCGCAGCAGCTTAAATTCATCTCATTAAGAAAAGCTGCCAAGTTGCCAAGGTGGAGTGATTGCTTGAGCTAAACAAACCATGACCACGAGGATCATGCTTCCATTTATTTTGTCAAAGTTGCATTGTTGTTGCGTGACAGCTCACACAAACCCCACAGGTGTGTCATGTTTGTGTCCTGGTTAGACGCCCAAAGTTGCTGCCAAAATAGCTGCATTTATGAGCTATGACATGGGGAAATCAAACCCAGAAGACAAACACCAGGCATGAAATAGATGTGAGTAGTTTTACATGAATATTTATTTTTTTGCAAAATGTTGCTGTTTGGGAACACACTCCAGTTTAGGGATATCAGTTTCACACAGATGCACCATCCAACAGATTTTTCTAATTCTTCCATGCGATTAAGCTGCTGAAACAATTAAGTTTTGACGACCAAAAAGATATATTAACTATCTTCTTTAAGTTATTTATAGAGTTTAAAAACGTACTACAAATTGAAAGGGAATGAGTGGCTCCCTGGAGAGCACAAAACAAATACTTGAAACTTGCTTTTGTTTGCTCTGCAATGATGTTTGTTGCCTGATTTCTAGTAATTAAGACAGACTGCAAAAAAAAAACCTTGGTATTGTTTTCAAACGGAAGCAGAGGCTACTGTTAAGATTACAATGCTGGATAGGAAGGTCAACTTTTTCATTTAGATTAACAAAATGTATTATTCTACTATGCCTCATATTAACTCCAGTCAAAGCTCATGTGAAAAGCATTGAAGAGAAAACTATTTATGTGAATGACTTGTTTGAACAGTATCGTAACTTGAGCTCAGTGGTGGAATTCTTTTTTTTCTATTATTATTTATTTATTTTTTAATATTTTTATTAGGAGGTAAGGCACAGTAGAACAGGAATCAATGTCAAATTTACATTGAGTATCACATAATCTCTGTATGACAATTAACAATATATATTGACACCATAAAAAATACTGTGCATCACGATGGGTTAAGAGTAAGATATATAGTGGTGGAATTCTTGAATTAAAGTGCCAAACTCACCTTGAGAAAATGATTAAATAACTAAAAACCTACAGTTGGTGCTAGAAAACCAAAGATATGAATATTGTCAGATCATGGAAAACTGCCATTTGATTTTGCATCATCAATGTAAAAGGAGAGAAAATTAATTTGAAACTGATGTTTTGAGTACGTAAGTCAAGTTGGGTCAATAAACCTTCATCCTGGATATATAAATATATATTTATATATATGTACTGTTTAATAATATGTTAAATTGATAAAAACAGCCATTATAATTATTTATTATGCCTTTTCTGCTGGGTCAGTCACTGTAGGAATCCGGAACAGTCCACTACTGTACATGTTTTTTCGCTTTACAATAGATTTAGATTTTGTATGCAGTTGTCCATTCTACCCGCTGGCTTCATCGCCGCTTCTATTTTAAGTTATTTTTCCAGTTGGCTCTGATAAATGTTTGAGGTTGACCTACTTTTTAAAACAGAGACCATCACTCTGACAGTTGGCAACTGCTTTCTTTAATGTTACCCTGCATAGTATATTATACAGCATCGCTCTGCTCCTGAAAATTTAATATCCCATACGCTGGTATGTTATGAAGTTAACCTGTTTTATGTACATTATAATGCATCCAGAAAACCCTCATGTTAATATTTGTAAATGCACATATCAGTTTACATCCCGGTAAACAAACCAGATAAATTATACAATGGGTTGGAACTATATACCGTGTGTACATAATGTAATATAAAGAAATAAATTGATAATTTGACAAATTCACATCCTGTAACTGATTTTGTTTTTACAGCAAGTTTCTGTCAAATGTGTTGTAAAGAACTGATAAAAATGTCTGTCAATATTCTTAACAGAATGGTCCTCTTCACTCATAAATATCAGTCCCCTACACATGCCTGACTTTTTTTTTTCATCAAGATCCATGTATTGTATCAACAAAAACTTCCCCAAAACACGCCCTGTCTCGCAGAGTTAATTAAAATGAAAAAAAAGTTCCTGGATCTGCTCCTGGTCCAGATCTGCACCAACATTTGATGGGTTCTTTCCTGACACATCACAACCCTGTAAAGTTATATGTATATATATATATATATATGTGGTAATCTGTTCAGTAGTTTTTGTTTAATTCTCCAAATGAAAGACAACAGTCCCTCTAAATTCAATCAAGCCTCGTAGCTGATCCAACATGGAAATACAGATCATGAAATTATAATCTCCATTGTGCAAGAAGAAGCTGCATGATTTCCTTGAAAATGTATGTAAAAAAGAAATAAAAAAGTAAACACCCTATGCATGATGGTCAAGAAAGTGAAAAAAAAAAATCCTGGATCCGCCCCTTTAACGGAAGCCATGCTGAAATTGATGTGTCTTAATTCCACATCTTCCACACACCGCTCATTTCTTTAACCCTCTCTTCCCGTCACTGATTTCAAACTAGCAGATGCAAATAGCTGCTCATCTCCAAATCATACCCTGCCCCCTGTGCACCCCCACCCCATCCCCCATGATAGGAGAGACCCTCGTGCTATATTTAGGCCCTGCACTTGTGTCCAGAAAAACTTACCAGACACAGCCATTGGCCATCTGCCGTGTCGCTCACTCGAGTAGAGCGACTTAATAGTTTATGTTAGCGAGTTGGGCCTGCGCCAAATTTAACCACGAGAAGTGTGTCTGGGTGCAGACATGGTTGAGAGTGCATCCAGCGGGGCTACGTGTGTTGTGGTCAGTGGAAGACCTCGGGGCCTGGATCCTGATTCCTGAAGACTTGAGTCAGTGGGCTGTTAGCTTGTGGCTGTGACCAGCAGGAGTCCACGTTTTCCTTTCCATTCAAGGGCATTGCTGGGGGCCCGAACACCAGTTTTTTGGGCCTGTCAGTGAAGCGGCGCGGCCTCATGGACCCTCACAGGCACGTAATGCTTCACCACACGGGATGTGTAAGCTGACGAGGTGGGTTTGACCGGCAGATCTTCTGTGTGAATGTTTTCAGGAGATAAAGTTAAACATAAACTTAAGGAGCATGTTGTGTCCAAAGGCTGTAGCTTGTTTCATCAAATTCATATTCTTTGTCACAGAGGATTACAAAGTTAGAGAGGTTTACCATTGAAAGAAGACTGGATCTAAATCTTTAGCAGCTCAGTTCACCTGCACACTAACGCAGTTATCAGAATGTATTGTCCCACGAGGTATCATTCACTGTACAGTACATCCGTCAGCCGCCGAATATATTTTTAAAACAATGTGTCACAGGGGCTGAGAGTCCCAGCATTACTCAACTGTTTCTGAATCACACTTCCACCACTTCTGCCCGGTGTTTGATTTCAGTTTGTGTGGATCATGTTGCCGTGGCTCGGGTCATGAAGGCCAGGAGCCTCAGACTCATGACTGGAACCCACTCCCCCTGTCCGCACTTGCCAAATATATACGCTCCTAAAGTAAATATAATCCTCTCTGAGTCCACGTGGAAAAGGCCACTACCTGCTCGGCAGCAGAGTCCCCCGGCTGTGCAGTCGATTAGTCGCTTGGCTCCTAAGAGACTAATTTGGCCGGAGCTCTGCTGAACTTGGTAAGAGCTTCTATAGAGGAAATGGTGCTGAGGGCTGAGATTGACTTTTACCTCTAAATGAGTTTAATGTTGGTGATGGAATGGATTAACCTTTTATACAAGTCAAGAATCACATGAAGTGTTTGACCTCTTCTTCGATGCTTCTATAGGTGCAGGTCTGAGCTCACACAGCCATGGGGGACTGGAACCTGCTGGCAAAGCTCCTGGAAAAAGCCCAGGAGCACTCCACCGTGGTGGGGAAAGTGTGGCTCACCGTCCTCTTCATCTTCCGCATCCTGATCCTCAGCGCAGCGACAGAGAAGGTGTGGGGCGACGAGCTGTCGGGCTTCACCTGTGACACCAAGCAGCCCGGTTGCGAGAACGTGTGCTACGACATCACTTTCCCCATCTCCCACGTCCGCTTTTGGGTGCTGCAGATCATCTTCGTGTCCACGCCCACGCTGATCTACCTGGGACACATCCTCCATCTAGTGCGGATGGAGGACAAGCAGAAAGAGAAGGAGAAAGAGAGGGAGAGGGCACAAGCTCAACACCGAGACAACCAGGCCCTCATTGTGGAAGTTCATCACAAAAAGGCTCTGGTGAAGGACAAGGAGGGCAGAGTGCGCCTGCAGGGGGAGCTTTTGCGCACATATGTTTTTAATGTGATCTTTAAAACCCTGTTTGAGGTGGGCTTCATTGTGGCTCAGTATCTCTTGTACGGCTTTGAACTGAAGCCCATGTACACATGTGACAGACCACCCTGCCCCAATGTGGTGAACTGCTATATATCCCGGCCCACTGAGAAAACCATCTTCATCATCTTCATGCTGGCGGTGGCCAGTTTGTCTCTGTTCCTTAACCTCATAGAAATGTACCACCTGGGCTTCACCAAGTGCCGCCAGGGCATCACATTCAGGAGAAATAGACTGGCTGGGAGAAGCTCCAAAGAGCCCAGCAACACCGCTGTGCCCTTTGCGCCGAGTTACGACGACTACTTCCACCAAGTCCAGCCTTCCTACCCTCCAGTGCCCGGCTACAACCTCTCCCCTCTGTCCGAGGGCACAGACTCGTCCTTCCACCCCTACCACAGCAAGGCTGCTTACAAACAGAATAAGGACAACTTAGCGGTGGAGAGGAGCAGCAGCAAGCCAGAGGAATGTGACCTGAAAGGAAAGAAGGGAGCGGGATCAGCCCCTGGGTCACCTACGCAGGCCAGACCGGGCCGCAGTGCCAAACACAGCAACAGCAAGACTAGAATAGACGATCTGAAGATATGAGGAGGTTTATGTTTCTCTGAGGGGTCTTAAAATGTTGTGAGAGGATCATATGTTGTGTGGACACATTCATACATGTCGGACTGGCTTCCCTCTTTAAGATGGCACAGGTTTGACTCATTCCAGCTTCTTGAGGGGAGTGACATTTACTGGGCACACAAAGAAGCTGTGATGTGGCTCAACAAAAACATTTCTATATGAACCTAGACCTATTTTTTCTGCCCCATAACCATTTGCTGTTTTTGTTTTCTTTCCTTTGGAAAAACTTGATTGCATTTAGATTGTTGCATAAACAAAGCCCTAATTTCAGTCAGTATGCATTAAATATTCTTGTTTAATTAATTTGGCTTGTGCAACATTTTTTCACTATTCGCTATTATCACTGAGATAAAAAAAATACCTTCTGCTCAGTTTTTTACTGCAAGCTTATCTTATTTTTCATTGTGTGATGAACGTGCCCAAAACCTCGGGAACAGAATCCAGGACAGAAACTTGTTCGGCACTAACCTGACTTCATTTTTAATGAAATCAGATAGGGCACATTTAACTTCCTTTTACTCTTCTGAAGTCACCATCCAGCAGCGTTCACTTGCTGCAACTTGTGTGAGTGAAAAGTGAAAAGTTGTGCAATACCTGACAACAACACATTGGACACTGGAGTCACTGTAAACTAATTCCGGGACGTGCCTCAGAAGAAATTGCACTGGTCTCAGGAGTTCCCACATTTGTACTGTCTCCTTTTATAGCGGCAGCCAGCAAATACATAATTATAAGCACATTGTCTTGTTTATCCTTGTTTATATCTACATTTGTGTCGTTAGTTGTCTATAAAGCACTTGGCGACAACTTTGTTTGTAAAAGTATTTGAAATAAACCTGTCTTAAATTTGCAAAGATAGCNAACAACAGGGACGTGGGTAATTTCACGGTTATGAGCCAAATCCCGTGGTCGACTCCGACAGTCATCACCTTTGTTTCTCAAAGCATCATGGCAAAAAAAAAAAGGGTGGGGGCGGAATTTCACTGGAATATGTGTCACAACTCTGATTTTATTTTCCTGAGAATAAGAAGTATTTTAGGATTAACTCAGAAGGAGAAATTATCTGTATTATCAGTATTATTCTACTGGTATTAATACTGCATTTAATATTCACACAAAGCAGCTTCAACAGCCAGCAGCTGCTTTTTAAGAGTGAAACTCTTAATTTACTGCACAGAAACACTTCAACCAGTTCAAAATCTGACCAGCTTGAGACGAGTGACGTCTTTCCTGTCTACATATGTCACACACACACACAAACACACACGGCTCATACTCTTCTGTGCCAGGAAAGCAAAGCACACTGTTATGGAAACCTTGAAATTAATGACATGGCATGTTAATGATGAGGGAGCTCTTTCATATCTTTGGACCGGTATGTTCTTGATTTCCTGTAAATGTATGGGAAGAGCAAATATGATTTTTTTTACTTTTTTTTTTTTAACTTTAATGTATTAAAAACAAAAGGGTTCAGTTTGTTTCAGCTGCAGTGTGTTGATGCGTTGCGACAGGATCGAGTGTAGTCTGGACACACTGTGCTTGATGTCGGTGTGTTGTGGTGCCAAAGACAATATGTTTTAAATCTCCAACATGTCAGTTGAGAAAATAAATAATCGCCCAAGCAGACAGAACAGTCAGGATTGTTATTTGTTACGTATATTACGTATATGTTATTTGAGACAAAGATTATATGTGTTTTAGAAATGCTGACAGATGAATAGATATGAGTTATGAGTATAGATTGATTTCCAGGACTTGAAATGAAATGAAATCCTTCTAGTGTAAGGCCAAGATTTCAAACTGGGCTTGCATCATGGATTCGGTCCGTTATAGAACACATACTGTGTTAGAAATACTCAGTTTGCCAGCACCATGATCACCTGCCACTCCTGCATAATACAAACGCAGTGATTTCAACACTTTCTATGAAAGGAGCTGTACACAGACAAAATGACGCACTTTAGGTCATTAATAACCTAAAGTGCGTAAAGAGCTGCAAAAGATGCTGGACCCTAATTTAAACCTTAATACAGTCCATCACACTGACACTTGCATATTTGCACACAGTGGAAGTGATTACTAATACTGCAGCAAACATAACAAAATGATGTTCCAGCCATTGTTTATTTTTACACCAAGATCTGTCACGTTATTTGGAATAATGCGTCACACGTGTCACTTTGATGTCGCTCTGCTTGTTTGTTAAGATGCAGACTGCCCACTGACTCCAGATATATAGTTACCTTCACCAAGGAGGTTATATTTTCACCACTTATTTAAAAAATATTATTAGTAACTGACACATGTGAGTGTGTTAGATTTGGTGCAGCTTGAGAGCCATTCTGGGTTTTTTTTGTCAAATACAAATGAGGGGTACATCAATTCTTCAAGTGTTCTAAATGGATCTTCCAAATTATTTTTATTTCAATTAAGAACTCCAACAAATCAAATAGATGAACAGTATAAATGCAACTTGTACACGAACAGAGAATGTCAGCAGTACTTTAAGAGATACTTCAAAATCTCCTGCACAGGAATGATACACACTGATATATTGTCACCATTTTAAAAAGCACATGATGTGTGTTTGGGAGACAAGTGACACCTCAGCACTGTTATTTTTTCCAGAGCTGAACTCAGTGATCATCTTCTCTGAGTTCCAGCCCAGACTCACACAATAAAGCTCAGCCTCTGTGGATGTAATTTAATGTGTCCAGATGAGTTATTCCATCACTTTATTCACTTTGTTCCCTGTGGAGTGATGCTTCATGTTATTTTCCCACCAGCTAAAGCACAGTACTCTACTGCCCTCTCCCTTCGCTTTGACTCAAACACTGAGTCAATGATGCTCATCTGAGGGGTGGGGGTGCATCTGCTAGGCACGCCACCTGCTGGTGAAAGGAAATGCAATGAGAGACACTTTGACATTTTGCAATGCCATTTTTATTTGAATCTCAATCTTACTACTAAAAAACACTAGCTTACTTTACTTTTCTTTACCGAGTGGATTTCAAGTCAGGTTTCGTTTCAGGACACTAAGAATAAAATCATCCAGGAGCATTGCAGCAGTGTTCATTTAATCCCTGACTCAAGTTAAAGTGTTCAGCGTCCACCGGCCTGTTTTCATCACACTGACACTATGTGCCCAACCTGCTAATGTGTGATAAATGACAAAGAGCCAGGAGCGAAGCATGCCCTTGCACCAACTCAGTGATGCTGTGGGGGCGAGCTTATGAAATATCAGCCGAAAGGGAAACAAGGGTGGGATGGGGGGGGATTTCTGACGTTTGCTGACTGAATCAGTCTGACTGCTCGCAGGCCTGTCACCTCATCACCAAACACCAGCCTTGTTAAAACTCCATGCAGACTGCAGCAGTCCTGCACCACACTCGGCAGAACGCCTTCAGTGTGGGTGCTGCTCAGTGGGAAACTGGAGCCTCACAACAGCACAGAGGGAAACAAACAGAAATCAGCTGCTGACACGGTTTGTGAGGCAGAGATGGTCGTTACGGCTGCGGGCATCTGCCACTTCTCCTCTCTGCCTCCATACCGTGCTGTCCGTGGGCTAGAGCTGACTGTTTGCTGCCATCATGTGACAGCGGAGACCCTCTGCAGAAGTTAGTGAGGTCTCTCAATCTGTCATCTCAGCAGACTAGCTGTCGTTATGGTGACCGGATTGATTCTACTCACTTTAATCTCTTTTTCCAGGCCGAGAGTTAAAATAAGGACAATCAATTTAAGAGTGAAGTCTTTTTTTTTCTTTCCAGTCCATATCAAATATTTGCCACATTATGTACAGTGTGATTTGAAAGAGGATGAGTGAAGTGATTGATTTTGAGTTTTCTTCATAGCATTTTGTCAAAGTGTCTAAATAAATGAATGTGCATGTTGTTCACACATGGATCTCCCATGGTTTGGCAAACACACCAGATGGTGAGGGAAGTCTTGTCCTCTTGTGTGATACAACTTGTTTATAACACAAACCTCATTTTAAATTTGATATTTTTCAACCTGGATTTCATCATTGGACCTTCTCGAACATGAAAATGCTGATCTGAGTATATTTCTCATAACCACTTTTAAAGTCACTAGATTCAGATTTGTATTTTGCACACACTCAGACATTAGACATGGCTGGAATGTGTTTCATTGAAACCTACATGAACTCCTCTCTGTGAAATCAACTCAAGTGTTGAAAAAAACATCCAATCTCGCAATGTTAAATTAAGTGAAAGTAATAGAGAGTAATTTTGACCCGTGGAAAAAATCTCAGAAAATAATTAGCATTTTGCTTTAATGAGACAACAGGAGGAAGCTTTTGATTTATGTGAAACAACAAAAATATTACATTTATTTTTTCAAATTTATCTAAGTGATATTCTCATCCCAATCACACTGACTTCTTTGACATCTAGACCCTCAAACATCTTCAATACAAACACTCATTTAAATACAGTCTGATCTTGCAATAAATCCCTGACTCAAAGTTCCAAAACTATCATTTCACTACAGTACAAACATTAAAAGAGAAAGAAAACAACAAACACTTTTATGAGGACAAACAGATGATTCAGATTATTTTAAGGACAAGACATCATGAGGAGTTTGTTCCAAAACACAGCATCGAGTTTAAGCTCACTATGGGATTATGTTGAAGTTAAGAGTCGTCTTTAAATGGATGCAGATCAGAACTGAAATTCGAGGACAGACTTATTCATTCAGTGGCGCAGATTTTCACAGAATGGATGTTTTGGAGTTTTTTGAATCAAATCCTTTATACACACACATTACAAGTACATAATGTGTGTGTGCGTGTGTGTACATGCATCATCAAAAGCCCAAGATGTTCTCCAACATGACAAACTCTTTACAGCACTAAGCCAAATGGCAGCTTATAAGAAAACCTCTTTAAAAAAATATGGGCTGGCCTCTCTCAACAAAAGTAAAATTTCCATTGAACAAACCGTCAAAAAGCTGAACTAACGAGGCTGCTGGAAAACAAAATACACAACCAACAGCCTCCACTCGCCTGTGCCCGGGAATACACAGCAGATTGGTGCCTTAACCTCAGGTTAAAGCCTGAGCTCAAACCTGAGCCCCGACTGTCAGGCTGGTCGATGTTGTCATGTTTCGTGTTGGAGCCCAGAGCGCAGGAGGGGAGAGGGAGGACGGGGGGGCTGTGAAATTCCACGTCTATCCGTCTCCTCCGGTCTTACCAGCTCATGAGGACATGCCTTAATCGTGTTTGCCCTTCCCTTTAGGTGTGCCTTCGTTCCAGGCCACATAAACAAACAAAGCCAAAACCACATGCACAGCGAGCACAGCAACAATGGCTGCGTAGAAGTAGCTGTCGGAGCTTGACATCTTCATGGAACCTGGGAAAGGAGGGAAAGAAGAGGCAACACTGACTGTCAACAGCTGCGTGGTGTGTGAAAAGTCATTTGTCCAAATCAGATTTCATGGGTCAGTGACAGATTGTAAACTTTTGCTTTAAAAATGTAGCCCCATGATAGGCAACTGTATCTTAAAGCTGCTGTTGAAAAGGGGCTGCAATTATTATTCTCATCAATGATTAATCTGCTGATTATGTTCTCAATGATTTGATTAGTTGTTTTTTTCTATAGTGTAAAAAATATTGCAATAATAATGACAAAAATGAAAATAATACTTGAACACTTCCTAAAATGTCTGATTTTGTCTGATAAACCGTCCCAATAGAGACCCAAGTCAATATATTAAATTTACCATCATGTATAACAAAGAAAAGCAAAACAAAACGTTCTAATTTAACAAGCTGGATGTTGGAAACTTTCCTTTTGAGATTGTGGCCATAAAGGAATGAACATGTTCAGTAACAATGCTCAGAACTATAAATAAGGTGCTAGCTGTGTTGGTTGGTAAATGTTTTTGGAACATTTATAGGGATATTTTAAACCAATATAACAGAGTCAACTAAATGGGGGAATAATTTACAATAATGTCAGATTTTTTATTTATTTATCATTAACTTACATATTAACAAGAATATAAACAAATATATTCTAACTGGGTTTAAAAACTGTAATAAATAATCAGTAAACCATCAAATATCCGGATTATTGATATATAAATGAAGTAATTTCTAAGTTAACTGCTCGGACAAATCAAGACTCAAGTTTTTTTTTAACCAGGACTCTGGGAAAACAGCTTTTCTCCACTGCTTTTGAGTAATTTATAGGCCACATAATTAATCCATTAATTTGGGAAGTCCTCTGCAGTTTCATCTTTAGTCGCAGCCCTAATGACATTTTCTGCAATATTAATTTCAGCATTGGGCTGAAAGAAATGATCTAGTATCAGTCAGGATCTGGTGATAATCGAGCTTTTGATGTGGAACAAAGACAAGTGTGAGGAGAAGGTGAGGAGGCCAAGTGTGTGGCAGCATCCTCTTTTCATCCCCATCCCCAGTGAGACTAAAGAGGCACCAGGAGACACAGGGCTGGCCTGCGAACACAAACACGCCAGTGTTCCGGAGCTCACCCTCGAAGATGAACGCCTTTGATGCGAAGTACAGTCCGATGGGTAACGTGACCATGAGGATGGTGAAGAACAGCAGAGTCTTGAGGGCTGACACCAGGGAGCTCTCATTTCTGCGGAGGGGAACAAGTTCAGGAGTGAGTCAGGGTGAAACAGCGGGACCCCGGTCCACTGATGTGGGGATGAGTCCCGTGGTGATGGACGGTGTTGTGTTTGAGGATGACGCCACATTAAACAAAGGTCTGCGGTAAACTCTGGTTACACACACACACACACACACACACAGAGAGAGAGAGAGAGAGAGAGAGAGAGAGAGAGAGAGAGAGAGAGAGAGAGAGAGATGGATAACAGGCTAGGCTAGGCTAATGCTAGCTGCTAGTGTACAGGAGCGGAGCGCTTTCTTACCCTCTTGAATATGGCGGCGGTCCGGCTGCGGCGTCGGGAGCTGCTCTGACAGAAGCGTCCATGTCTGTGCTGATCGGAGGCTGGTTACTGATGTGAGTGAATACAACAGGCTGAGTCTGTGTTTGCGTGTAGCCCTGTTTCTGTTGTCACTGCTCAAATCCCTACTTCCCTGTTCAGTCACGGGACCGTCACGTGAGACGCTGTAGTCTCGCGAGATCTGACCCGGAAGTCTCTGCCTGTGCTGCAGAAATACAACTTTATTATTATTTCAGTATTAAACCCGAGATCGAGCGTTAAATTACACGTGTCGTTTGTTTGTGAGGTTTCTCGTCTTTTATCATCAGTGTGGAACAAAACGTGAAAATACCTGTAAGATTTATTTACAATTAAAAGTAGGTCTATACAGCAGCTATGATAGTTCCATGCTGCTCACACATGTGGTGCTTCAGTAGTCATCATCTAATAATGTAGGTAATAATAATATATCAGTCAGAGGGACCAAAATAGGAATTTACTTTCATGAATAATGAAACTTTAATATTTTTGCTTTAATGCTTTAACTACATGCATCAAACTTCCTTTTACTGAGGTAACACTTCAGCAGAACGCTGCTGCGAGGTTGCTGACAAGCTGCCGAAAGCCTGTGCATATCTCCCCCTGTACTCGCCTCCCTCCACTGGCTCCCTGTTCATTTTTAAATTGTACTTTATATTTATAAAGCTCTTAATGGATTGGCTCCATCCTACCTGTCTGAACTTTTAACTCACTATAACTCACAAAGGTCACTCAGCTCCACTTAAGGTCCCTCGGGCTCCGCGGAAACGCCTTCTCAGTCTTGGGTCCCAGTTTCTGGAACAAATTGCCTCCTCCTTCATTGAGCAGCTCAAGACCCACCTCTTCTCTTTGGCATTTGACTGCAGTTAATGGGTCCAACATATTAGCTGCTGCATTAGTTTTTTTAAATTGTTTTCATATTCCTCACTGTTTTGTCTGGATGCCTGTATGTGTGTGTTTGTTTTTGTAAAGCACTTTAGTCTGCTTTTGTTGTTTTAAATGTGCTATATAAATAAACTTGACTTGATTTTTTCATGCAATACTTTTACTGTATCACTGTATTCATTCTTTTACTTAAATAAAGAATCAGAGTACTTTTTCCTGCACTGAAATTCTGATTAATCGTCTAACAGCTGTTGGAGCATCCTCTAGCATTAGCTTAGTTTGCTACATTCCGATGTAACATCTCTCTGTATTGGGATTCAGTTTCCTCCTTCTCCTCTCTGTTGTCATCCTTCTTTTAATAATTGAATAATCTGGGGGCAGTAATTATTGAAGTGTTCCTCTGCCTGATCCAATGCAGCATTTGTCAGTCTGTGTGACTTGGGCTAAGTGATGAACAATTTAGCATCAAATGGGGCCTATTATCCCACTGGCAGACTGACAGTGGGGGATAATAGGCACCATTTAATGTGAAGTGAGGGTACAGTATGTTAATTATTGTAATAAAAGGGCAGTTTACTGATAATATTGTTTCAGTAACAAGGGGTGCATCCATTTTTTCCCCCAACTGAGTTAAATGACCCAGAAGTATTTCAGTGGCCATAATAAGAGCTGTTTGAATTCTCTAAATGATAAGGAAAGGAGCTTCCTTAGCAGAGGAAACACTAGACCATCCTTTATCAAAGAAGAAGAGAAAATGCCTCCCACAATTCATTGGGCACTAACATTTAAAGCAACGCAACCTCTTAGTTGTACCAGACCCACGTTGATATATAAAAATCTGTTTTTTTCTCCACTAATTTAAGGTTTTCTCCACATAGACTCCTCACATTTATATTATTTCAACATCTGCCCTGTTTGTTTTATTTCTATTTTCAATCAAATCTATTTTGTTGTTTATTTCTTATAAATCAAGTCGGTTAAAAAACAAACAAAGTGTAAGTGGAATCAGATTTTCTCTACATCCTGGGTCTCCTTTCCTAACTCCTTATGGCTTTTGCTTCACATGTTTCTTTGACCTTGTGACATGTTACATCTGGATCAAGGCATAGTGGTTAGGAGAGGTATTATTTTGACTTTTCTGAATGCACCCCATGTTTAATTAGTTGGTGCGCCCCAGAGGCAATCGCCAGTTCATTTTTGTAGCTCATATGTAGCCTAATACTTTCCTCCTAAAGGCTTCAACAATCATAAAAATGTTGTTAATTTTGGAAGATTGACCTTGGTCAACAAAGTCTATTATAAACTTTTGTCTTTTGTCAAAGAGGTTCTTCTGCACTTATCCTAAAACCAATGAAAACAAGAACTCTATTGGGTAATGCTGTCTCTCAGAGAATTTGGAAGTCAAGATTATCTCAGTTGAAATTTGAAACTGCAAAGGTCCCCATTATGGGACGAATAAAGGACTCCTCTTAATTCAAAGTTCCAAAAATATAATTTTCACGTACAAACATTAAAATAGAAAGAAAACAACAAACACTTTTATGAGGACAAACAGATGATTCAGATTATTTCAAGGACAAGACATAAACAAGACGTAAACAAACATGGCTGACTGACAAACCCGTTTTGATTTGGGGGTTTTTTTGGCTAATGATTAGTCAATTGGACCTAACTTAACAACTTAACAACTTAGACATTGTATTATATTATAAGTGCTATCAATTTAAACAAAGAAGACGTTTTATTATATGACACTATGTATATTTAAATAAACACAGACAAATATACTTTATGTGGCCTTTTAGTGGACATTTTTTTTACTTTTAGTGTCTTTACATTTCACTTTGTCTTGTAGTGGATCAGAAAACTTCAACCTGTGAGTCATCTGGAAAGTATCATTAATTCTGAAACAGTGTGAAGCACACAGGAAAACTTGAAAAGAGCAAAGAATCTGGCAGACCAAGAAGCACAAGTCTGGCGAATGAGTTAGAATCATTTGCATTGTGAAGAAAACTTTATGGCTGCACAGCAAATCAAGAATGTTCTCAAGGAAGTAGGAGCACATATTTCCTTGTCAAAAGAAGACTTCATGACTGTAACCTCAGAGAATACACCACCAGATAAACCCCCTAGTAAAAGCAGAAGAAAACATAGTGCTTCTTCTTTTAAGACTGAGTAATTTATGTCTGGAATTTATTAGTGATTTGACTGCTCACAGTGTGCTTAGATTCAGATGACATCCAGAGCAGGACAATGATCATAAACATATATACGACCAAAGCAACCAAAGAGAATTTCAGGCCGAAGAGGAAAAAGATTTTCCACAACACATTACATGTATTTTGTCCTGTGACACATAACATCTCTCATGCTCTATATTGATGTAAACCTTCTCAAATTAAATCTGACATATAGCACTTTAAGTCATTATTTTATTTGACATTAAATGTACTGAAGCTCAGAGCCTGAACAACAAATAACAGTTCAAATCCTTAAAGTCTGAACTGTGTGTCCTCTCTTATCAAAACTAAATGTCCACTCACATGCTGACAGCACTGTTTTCTTCCATTCCCCTTATCAGGCTGTAAATTCAGAAGACAATGTGTAAATCCATTATTCAAGAGTTATTTGACTTAAATAAACGGCATCTTTGGTGGAATACAAATATGACATGACAGCCTTGGTGTCCTCAGCAGCCATAAATGCACAATGCACATGTATAGTACGTGCTTTTGTTCCCTTACATTGCTGAATAATGCAAGACTCTACTTCTTGTTTAATTGCAGATGTAACAGAGAGCCATTTAGACCATTTCGTGCCAAGTATATGCATTTAGTGTCAGTGCACTGACTGCGTTTCTGGTTGAAGTCTCCCTGAAGTGTCAAGGAGTGGCACTTTCTGCTCCAGTTGGCTGAGTTCTCACCGGTCCCACGCTCAGCAGGTTCCCCCAAAACACACTTCATTTGAGAAGACGCTCGGAGGGGCAAGACAGGGCCGCTAAGAAACAATCCAGTGATGTGTGTTCAAAGTAATCACTGTGCTTGCTGCGGCATTTCAAAATCACAAGTAGTTAAGCAGCAGATGGCAAGAAACATGTCACCGACTGTGTCGATGCAGAGGATTGTCACGGAGAATCATACAACTCTCACATCTGTGGCTGGAGCCATTTCAACAACTATGTTCTGGTGTCTTTGTTTTGACGAGGTTTGTGCTTTGTAAACAGGAAGTGGGGAGAAGTGTTTTCAACACAGTTTTCATTAAATCCGCCTTCACTTCCAGTAACCTACAGAGCAGACGGGCCTATGTGATGACTTGTTGAGTCAAATTCATACTTTCATTCTCTTAAATCATTAGTGTAGATGGTACCAGGGTCTTATTAATGTATTTATCTTCATTCATTTAACTATAAATAATATTTCAGCTACATGATTTAACAGTGTCAACATGTTAAACTGTATTTTAACTTTTAAAAATCTTACCATATGAGTAACAACCCTTTTCTTCAAATAGCACAGCGAACTATCTAAGGTCAATCAGGAAAGCTATTACAAAATCAACAATGACCTGTTTCAATAAGAAGGTCATCAGTAATTAATTTGGATCAAAATTACATCCTCCCAATTCACTGGAGTCGTGTATTTCCCTGGAAACAGATGCAAAAGCAAAGGAATTAATTAGTTGGGGTATTGCAGGGAGCTTTGGGAATAGACCACTAACCACAGAAGACACAGCCAATGTAGTTCACCCTGTTTTGGTGGGATTATGAATTTCATTAAAACAACCAGTTCAAAGATATCAGTCCACCATAAGCTGTTTCCTCGATGGAATGACAGTGTGTAAATCTGGTCAAGGGGCCTTCTACTGCAAGTTCAATACTAGCTTGTCCTTCCTCATGGATCTCGACCTCCAACCTTCTGAGAGTATTTCCCATGGCTCTCTCCGTCTGGACTCCCCTGGCTATAGCTTTCACATTCCACGTGTCACATGTGCTCTGTGTCAAATACGAGGCACCCCACACGCTACACCTGTTGTTTTGACCAGGCGGCGCAGTGTCCTTCAGAAAATATTTTTAGAGTTGTAACGGGGGACCATTAACGTTTCCATTTGAAACAAGAGAAAGAATTAAAACACTTTAAAAATAGTAGCACGCTATTCTTAGTGTTGTTATCCGCCGTATTTACAACTGTTGCCAGTGGTGAGAGGATTGTTATCATCATTAACTCATGTCAGCAAGTTTATGAGCTGGTGGATAGTTTCCTGCTGGCGTCATGCACAGGTGGAC